CAGCATGTCCCGGGGATCGGGTGATAGGAATTCTGCACCCCTGTTTTGCCTACCATTTTGCAGCACCGCTCCCACTTTGAGCCTCATTAGAAATGTCTGTAGGTGTGCAACAGATGATGTTAAGGGTTATCGGTAAGTGCAAATTTGTTTGGGGACATAACATTGCTTAATTTAGACCTGTTGTCCAATGGAAGGCTCTTACATATTTGCTTAACTAAATACAGGTGGTGGCTTTTTTGGACAGACAGCTATTTTTTTTGTTTATTATCAACTGGTGATCCGGCCAGTAAGTCAAGCCTTAAACTGTGTAAAAATGGCAGAGAGAGGATTGAGATAAACCATTTAACACTGACAGAGATGATTATAATGGTCAGCTTTTAATCATTTATGTAAAACCTCTATCCCAAAACTGTTGTAACTGCGTATGAAGAGTTATCTGGTGTTCAGCTTGAATTTTTTAGTCAAGTTTATCTAAATCTGCTAGTCCATCTGACACTACCCTCTCCCAGGAGCAGATCCAGAGTCTAGTCTCGGGAGGGACACTGACAGAAAATTAGGTGTTATTATTAGTAAATAATGCAGAGCTCAGTAGTAAATAAAGCAGAGCTCGGTAGTAAATAGCGCAGACTTGCTAGTAAATAGCGCAGTATGCGTTAGTAAAGCCCAGTCCATAACCCATCGCACTCCAAACCGGTAAGCAGTCCAAAAGCTGGAAATGGGTGCTGTAGTGATGGTGCCGCAAGCAAATCAGTAATGAATGAAAAAATCAACAGCACTTCTGAGTTCCAAGAATGTCAGATCTTTTTTATTGACATCCAATCAGGTCTCACAGCAAGAAAGCAAAGTGTGGTAGTAAAGAACGCAGATCCCGGTAATAAAGAACACAGAGCACGGTAGTAAAGAACACAGAGCTCAGTAGTAAAGAATGCAGAGGTCGGTAGTAAAGAACGCACAGCTCGGTAGTAAAGAATGCAGAGCACGGTAGTAAAGAACACAAAGCACGGTAGTAAAGAACACAGAGCATGGTAGTAAAGAACACAGAGCACAGTAGTAAAGAACGCAGAGCACAGTAGTAAAGAACGCAGAGTACGGTAGTAAAGAACGCAGAGCACAGTAGTAAAGAACGCAGAGCATGGTATTAAAGAGCGCAGAGCTCAGTAGTAAAGTACGCAGACCTCGGTAGTAAAGAATGCAGAGCACGGTAGTAAAGAAAACAGAGGTCCGTAGTAAAGAATGCAGAGCTCGATAGTAAAGAACGCAGAGCACGGTAGTAAAGAATGCAGAGCTCAGTAAGCTCAGTAGTAAAGAATGAATAGAGTGAAAGTGTGTTACTGGCCAGATCACTGTGTGAAAATAAAGGGGAAAAAATAAACATAGAAAATGAATGCAGCCACCACATTTAACAATTGGTAAGCTGTAGTGTTTTACATTTTTGTTTTTGGATTTATATAAATGTTAAGTGCTATAATCTCTGTCAGTGATAGGATATAGAGACCCTGAATCCTTCTTAAAAAAATATGTACATGTTTATTGTGCAACTGATATTGTCACCTCAAGAAGAAATGATCACAAATATACTTTGTACCATTTCTGCCAATGTAAAAATGACATTATTCAGAACATATACGCAGTGTAAAGGCACTGTGTGCAGTAGACCTCTTATAATTGTGTAAACAGAACTGCCAAGATTATGCTAAGATTGTAGATCTGGGTGACTAAATCTAATCATTCTGACTTTTGAGAGAGATGACGTAATGGCATTTCTAGTCCTTTGCTCCTCATTTCTATTTATGGCTTGTTAGGTAGACATCCTAAGTTTAGATTATGGCACCGTTTTTGAGAAGTGCATGGATCATTGTATCAATTATCCCCCTTTGCCTTGCCTCGCCATCCAGACAATTTGGCTTTTTATTTCTATATCACATCAGTTTCATTTTTCCTTGCATATCAGTTACATTTACAATATGTGTTTATTTCAGGAAACTTTAAAAATGATATTTTTATACAAAGAAACACTGTTTTCTGTGGAACATTGTCAGATATCAGATACAGTATGTGACCAGATATGTGACCTTCAAAGGTATCAATATATGCAGCAGTTATGATGACTTGAAGTGTATGTTAAGCCAAGAATGTTTTTTTCTAGTTTTGGAAAGGGTGGGGGAGAGTTAAAACCATCAGGTTTTTAGTATTTTCTGGGGCACTGTAAAGCTGGCCATACACTGTTCTATTTTATTCCCACAACTCACGGGCTGAATTAAAAAAATAGATCAGATTCCTTTATCAACACTTACGAGTGGATCCTCCCGCTGTTTCCTTTGTATTTTCCAGTCAGGTCCTTCAATCAGCTGATCAAGGGATGCCAGCCAGAAGGGTGCCGACACCCATTGTGCGCATTTTGGCTGGTTCTTCATTAATTTGCATAGTGTATGGCCAGCTTTAAAGAGATTTACTCTCATTTCCTGTTGTGCTAACAACAGTTTCACCAGAGTGGAAGTAAGGGACCTGCAATAGGGACACTATTCCCTCCTACTATTTCACTTCCTTGGATTATAAATACTCATAGCTTAAAGTGACATTAAACCCTCAGATTTGTTAACATAAAACAATACTGTAATGTGTGCCCTACTGTAATCCATGGTTGTTTCTCATTTCTTTGCTGCTCTTCCTTTTAAATCTGTATCTCTTCTCATGCTGGGCAGAACTTTTGTTTTGCAGCAGACTGCCTTGTCTCTGAAATGGATACATGGTGTCTGTGTGTAGGTTCACAACCTGAGCCAGCACTACAGGAAGAGGCACTCAGCTGCAAAGGGAAGATCTCCCCAAGCATGAAAAGACATGAGGATTTAAAAGGAAGAGCAGCAAAGAGAAGGGACACTACCATGGATTACAGTGAGGCACACATTACAGTATTGGTTTATGTTAACAAATCTGAGGGTTTAATGTCACTTTAAGCATCCATTTTGGTTATGAATGTTGAGATGGTGGTGGCAATATAAATATCTGGATATTGGATCGATATGCACTTTTAATCAGTAAGGCTTTGGGACAAGTGGATTATCCTAAGCATTCTAACAATTTTTGGACTTTTAGTGTACCATTTAAATTGGTGGCTATTGGAAGTACAATCTTTCCTGTTAGTGTACTAGTGAAACAAACAGATACCCTGGATTCCTGTGGTTAGATTATTTTAATTGAGTGTTTTTTTAAAAACTGTCTTGTTTTTTTTTAATAATAGTTACAGCTTTGGAATTAATAAACTTTTTGATATTGAAAGTATACTGTTCAGTCTAATTAATTTGGCTTGTTCAGTCTAATTCATTTGGCTATACAGCTCTGATAACACAGGTGTTGTGTGCTAGGAACCATATTTTTGTGATATTTTGATATTATACAGTGTGCAACAGAGCAAAATAGCAGGTTGTTGTATAGGAGATACATATGATTGTCTTTGTTGGCTCAGGATCCTTCACATTGTTGTAGTAACTGTGATGACTAGTGAGGTAAGTTATGATGGCATGATGATTTTTTTTGTTAAAAACAAATATATAAAGTATATGTAGGGCACTTGGGAACATTTTATTATGCATAGGAAAGCTTTTCAGCAACAAATGTGTGCCCTGCTGCTCTGAGCTATGAACAATGTTGTTTATTCAGAAATCCACCCTATGACCACCTGTCAGGGGGTGGAGTACCCCTGTATGCTGAAGTGGAACCCAACAGTAGAGAACAGCACTGGGAAGCAAGTCCAAGATAAAGGTACAATATGGAGAGTCCATAAAGCGTCGTCAGAAAATGGTCCGGGTCAAGGCAGACGGCAGGTATCAAAAAAATGAGGAATCAAGCCGGGGGTCAATAACCAGGATTCTAATAGCGTGGAAGGAATTTAGGAACAGGAGAAAGGAAGTAATGCTTCATAGCTGCACTGGATACAGGCAGCATAACTCAGCAACAAGTCTAGGCTCTGACTGGAATTTAAACCCAGCAAGGACCAGAAACTCCCCCGTTGTCAGAGCAACGAGAAGGCTTCCAACCCCCAGGAGCCAATGGGATGCCGAGGAGAGGTAGGTGTGTGAATAAGGCCCTCCCTGCTAATGACCAGCACCCGAATTGACTAATAGGTCACAGCAACGTAACGTGCGCACACACGCACCCGCACACACGTCCCCCGGGCACCAAGGCAACACAGGAAGGAACCTATACACTGCGCCATGCCTAGCGTCACCCCTGGCCCCACGACACTACTATGTAAGATATGTGGTCATTAACGGATTCATTATTACTTCAGACCAGTAAATTGACTTTCCCTTTAAAGTAGGGGTGGACAAATTAAGATGGAATTCAGGAGCTAGTATGTCTGTATATCCAATCCAGGAGCCAGCAGGATTTTTTTAAGGAGCCAACTCAATTGACAACATCTAGAGAAAATATCTAAAGTTAAACTTTGGATTTAATTTTTAGGGAACATTAGTTACCTGGCTCTGGAATTTGTCCAGCCCTGCTTTAAAGAATACAGGTTCATTGGTATGGTGAAAAATGTGTTCTCTTGTAAATATGCCCTGTTTTGCAAAAGAAATCCTAAATGCAGCTAACCATATTATGCAAAGACTTTATCCTAATGCTTTTTTGTTACATCCTCAAACAAAGGCAGAATTGTTTTCACGATGCAGTCAGAGCAGCACAATGGTTAAACAGTCACCTATTAAACCTAAAACGGTCTTTCAAACCAATGAGCCTATCATTATTCAGCATCAGGAAGGTCAAAGCCCTTAGTTCATTTAATTCATAAAATGACTGGCTGTAAAACAAAAAAATGATTCTTTAGTGTCCTCCTCACTCTCGGCAATTCAGGAAAACTGTGACATCATCATGCTGCAAAATATCTATATAGCGTGAAACGGCCACATAAATGACAACGTTAAAATCTCATGGGGAATAAAAGCCTACTGGAGAAATCATTAACAGTCACAACATCATGCTGTTGTTCACATTCTTGATGTAGTCTTCATACATCATCTGCAAGTCTGCATACCATGACCAGGGAACAATGATTGAACACATATCGTGCAGAGGAGGGTTATAATGGTAGGTGTGGCACAGTGTACAGGAACAGAAAGCTCTGCTAAGCAAAGTTAGATGACGTTCAGTGAAGTTGAATCCAGAGGGAAGGAGAAGGGGGGACATCATATACAGGTAAGCTCCTATTGCCCTGATGCCAGAAGAAGTCCTAGGGGTCATGTTACGTGATATGAGTCAGACGTGTTTATATATTCTATTGCAATGATGGGGGGGGAAAGGATTAGTGTGTACAACATACACAGTTCATACTGCTCAGCCTCTGACATAACAATTAAAATGAATAAGTATTTCCTGAAAAAGGAAAATGCCTTGTAGCCTAACATTTCTCATGTGAATGTCTGATTACTTTAGATTTATTGTTGAGTGCATGTAAAACACGCATATGTTGTGTGAGAATGTATCGCAGAAACTGGTCTCAATCATTTCCTTTCAAACTGGACGATGGCCAAAAAGGATATCAAAACTGCAGAGAGTCACAATTATTTTATGATTGTTTTAGGTGCGAAGGCGATTTTTGGCATATGATTAAAATGAGCACCAGTGATATTTTAGATGGCATAAATGTAAAACAGCGTTCAAATAATATTTGGAAAGCAAAAACTAGTTGTAGATGGGAAGATCTTGTAGCCAGTTAATAATTGTCATATGCGTAATGCCCCTGCAGTTTGCACATTTGATTCAGGCAGGGTCACGCTCAATGCATGTGTAGTGAGATGGCTATTCTCTTATATCAGGAACGTCCACATAAAAGTCACCAAAAGTCTGAAAGATTGCTGTTATTTCTGTTTTGGCTGGGTCCTGTATGCTACCTGCTACTAATGATTTAATCAATCACATCACTACAGAAATTTCAGAATTTTACAACTACTAAGATTTCTGTTCTTGTTTTAATCACTTGATGACCAGGGTGTTAAACCCCCTTCCTGGCCAGGTAATTTTTCATTATTCAGTGCTGCGGTATTTTGACTGACGTTTATTCCGTCATGCAACGTTGTACTTAGAAGAGTTCAATACCATTTTTTGGGGACAGATAGAGCTTTCTTTTGGTGGTATTTAATCACCACTGGGGTTTTTACTTTTTACTAACTTATTATATACTAACAAAAAAAGTACCCTAAATTTTGAAGAAAACCCTGTTTCTCTTTGAAATGTAATGAAGCCTTCCAAGTGATAGCCAATGTACATGACAGATCCTCTTTATGGAGACATCAGGGGTGACAGTTTCCCCACTCGTGTGCGCGCTGAACACCGCGCACGAGTGCGGGGAGGGGAAGGACGTCTAAAGACACCCACCCACTCCTATAAGGTGCCCGTCTGGCCGTCTACCTACGTGCCAGTGGACAGGAAGTGGTTAAAATTCTCTTTAATGTTTTGTTCACCCTTGTGCTATATATAGAGATTATTTTTATGTCTGTTATTAAAGCTGAACGCCATCGTTCCCTTCAGTCTTGCACAGTTGTACAGGCTCCTCAAATTGTTCCGTCTGATTTCACTGCACATAGTGGGCTTCTCACAGTTTACATTAGAAGCCGCAGCAAGTCAGATAAAGCCCATCTCATTTTCTGGCCGGAGAATATCCAGCATCATTGGAAAATTTTTGTTTAAAAATTGTATTAGCATGTTGATGAGGGTGAAAAGGAGGAACCGGGGAAGGCAAAATGTTTGCAGATTAAACTTCTGATTTAAGACCAGTATGAATTTTCCCATGTGTACATAATTGTTATATATCCTGTCTTGTCTTAACTGTCTGAGTACTGTCAGCCACAATTTAGACAAGAGGGAAAAAAAAGAGTCATCATCTACCAGACTTGTATCACATGATATTGCAGGAAATATGCTTTCATCACCTGCTGGTGAAAGGTCTTTCATAGGGATGAACCACTGAACAATGCAATGTTTTAATATAAAAACATGGCAAGGAAAAGTTTGATGTCTAACACATTCTGTTACCTGCATACAAAGGGTGATTTACTACCTAAATTTGCTTTTTTTGCTATTGCATTCAACACAGTACCCCACAAATATATAATCCGTAAACTAAGGTCTATAGGTCTAGATGAAATTGTATGTACATGGGTGGAAAATTGGCTGCAAGAATGGACCCAGAGAGTAGTAATAATTAGAGTAGTCATTCTCTAATTGGGCAAATGTTGGGAGTGGAGTGCCCCAGGGTTCAGTCCTGGGGCCGATCCTCTTCTGGTCACTGACTCTCAGGAGGGACGTCCTGGAACTGGAGAGAGTTCACAAAAGGGCTACAAAATTAAAGGAATAAAAGTCCTGAGTTATGAAGACCGCATTTCTGGGGCCGAAGCTAGCCGAAGGATCGGCCGAAACTACGGCTAGATCCTTCGGCAGCTTCATGAATAGACCCCAAAATCTTAACGTATTCACCTTAGAAAAGAGGTGATTAAGAGGGGACCTTATTGCAGTCTTCAAAATCATCAATGGGGTTTACAATATTAGGAATAAACTGTTTAATCCAAAAACTGTATTGAGAACCCGGGGACACAAGAGGTTAGAAGAGAGGGGGTTCAATCTTAGAATTCGTAGGGGGTATTTCACTGTGAGAGTAGTGAAAGTTTGGAATTCCCTACCACAGTTGGTAGTATCTGCGGATAACATTGATAGATCCAAGAAACTTCTGGATGACTTTCGTCTTTCACAGAATCTACAGGAGTAGAGCAAGATAAATACGCACGCGCACACACACACACACACACATACAAACATAGATTGAACTGGATGGACCATGGTTTCTATTCAACCATAAATGCTATGTTACTCTGTTATACAGTATATTTTAACTTTTAACATGATCACAAGATTTCTGAACCAGAGCAAGTGGTTCACGTTAAAATCAATCTTTTCATAATGCTGATGTCACTCCTCTTAAATCTACTCACTACACTCTATTTTGTGTGTCCTGACCATAATAACTACAAAAAGAAAATATATACAAAAATACTAAATATTTCCTTTAACTACCGTGTATACACAACGGCCGGCCGGGAGCTTCTTGGATGTAACTGGGCGTGTATACACGTCCTGTTACATCCACCCGCTCAGGCGCGCCGCGCACGCGAGCGGGAAATGCCGGTTATTTTAAAACAGGCAGCGATGCCCGTTACTATACAAGCGATCCGCCGGCTATAGAGCCGGCGGATCGCTTGTATGAGGTCCTGTGACGCGCGCCCCCCCTCCCGCTGTCAAGCTGGTACCGGGCTCCGGTGTGAGCCCGGGACCAGCATACTGCCTCTGTCACAGGGGATCAGAGGGAGGTCGGTTCACGATCTCCCTCCGGTCCCCTCTCCACTGTCAGAATGCGGAAGTGGTGTATATTACATCACTTCCGCATTCTCGTGTCACTCTCCAGCTTCAGATGCTGGAGAGAAGCTGATGAAGCAGATCTCTGTTTCATCAGCTTTTTCAGGGAGGTCCTAGGTGACCCCTGATGTCTCCATAAAGAGGACCTGTCACCTCTTTTGTTATCACATAGAGGGGTTTCTCAGCCCCCTCTGTGATAGCAATAAAGTTAAGTGAAAAAAAAATAGAAAAAAAATTTAAAGTTTCCCCCACAATTTTTTAAAAGTTACACATAAAAAATAAAAAAAAACTATTTTTTACAAAAAGTCCCCACCCCTACATACACGCATGTAAACATGCGTCAGGTGCGCATACCTGCGAAAACGACGATTGCGCCCATTACGCCGCACATGTTACATATCGCCGCGAACGTCGGAATGAGAGCAATAGTTCTAGGGCCATCAATCACTGATAACACTAAACTGATGAGCTATAAAAGCGTTTAAAGCGTCGCCTATGGCCAATTTTGGGTATGCTAGTTTTTTGCGATTTCGACATGTTTGGTGTCTATTTACCCGACGTGACCCTGTCTTTTATATTTTACCAAAAAAGTGGGTAATATTAGTTGTTTTATAATCAGTAATTTTTCCTTATTATAGTAAAAATTAAAACCCCCAGTGGTGATTAAATACCACCATAAGAAAGCTCTATCTGTCCCCAAACAATGGTATAAAATTCAGTACAGCGTTGCATGAGGAAATAAATGTCAGTCAAAGTACCGCAGCGCTGAATACTGAAAAATGGCCTGGCCAGGAAGGGGGTCTAAACACCTGGTCTTCAAGCGGTTAAAAGATGACCTTGGGCCATTATGCAGCCAATGATAATGCAGTGGGGCTTATGTCATGTAGTGTCTGAGGGAATAGGGAACCCAAGCTAGGAAACCGTATTGTTTATGGTGATAGTTTTACTGCTTTCATCTTTTACCCTGATGAAATGTTCTTGGTTGGCACCATAATCCCTCCAACCACTTTAATGAATGTATAACAATAGAAGCAACTGAAGCAGTTGAAATTCTCTCCTAAGCCTACTGAGATGACTCTGGGTGAGAATTTTTACTTATATGATGCCTATTGTACAATTCTTGTAAATTTAAGAGATTTGAAACAACTCTAATATACAGTATATCAGAACACCACTGTTCATAGCTTAGGAAAAGTCTAAAACACAGCCTGGATTATTATGGTTGGCCAGCTGCTATTCCCAGGTGTTAGGAAGGGTGCCAAGGGTGTCCGTGAGCTTGTGTAACTGTGAGACTCCTTTTAATGTACACTATGTGCAAATGAAATGACCACCAGAGGTGCAGAGCTAGATGTATACTTCCTTACCCCACCAGGCCAACTACCTTATACCAACCCCATTTACTTCCTAATAATTGACTAACCCAAGTATCATATTAATAAGATCAAACATAGCCACACAAGGTGCACCAGGACAGGTGCACGTATGGTGCACCTTATTCTTGCCTAGGTGACGATGGAGGCAGGGGTGGGTGCAGGGGGCTGGAATGTAAACTTTAAAAAAAAAATAATAATAAAGTTGGCTCTTTTAGATTGTGAAGTGGAGGAAAACAATGAGGCAAAGTAGCTTTTTTAGTGAATATCTGCTTTAATTCAAAAAGATAAGTTTGGTGTTTTTTTTATTTAAACTAGCTAGCCACAACCTACAAAAAACATTTTAAATAACTTCTCCCTCTCCAATTTCACAGGTACACTGACTATGAGCGTGGATCAATTTTGTGACATTGGCTAGAT